AACCGTTGTCAGCTTGTACAAAATTCGTAAAAATACTTAGGGATAAAAGAAAGGCATGGAATTGCTTGTTTACATGCGTAGTGTATCACTGTGTTCACTTAGAACTCGTAACACATGTCTACAGAGACTTTTCTTCAAGCTCTTCGTCGCTTTGTTTCCCGGTGAGGCAGATCCATCATAATTTATTCGGATAACGCTACCAATTTTGTAGGTGCATTTAATGCTTTTGCCTCAGTAGATTTCAAGGAAGTCTCTAGAAGAGGACTGATGACAAAATTACTTGTTTGTACCTCCTGGTGGGAAGGTTAGTGGGAGTGTTTAATTAGATTAATAAAGAAACTTTTAACAAAAATTCTTGTAAAAGCTTATTTAGATTACGAAGAATTTACTGTTTTGTGTAACTATGAAGCCATACTCAATGACAAACCGTTGAGAGTTGCGTAAGCTAATTCAGATCTCACTGCCATTACACCAGCAACATTCTTAAGAGAATTACAATACGATTTAGTGCTTTTACAAAGCAAGAAATCAATTCAAACTTCTTTAAATATAAACTGCAGCACAATCAGAATATCTGCGAGGTTTTTAGGAGGAGATTCCTTAAAAGAGTGTTTCGGGACTCTGAAAATTTCAAGTGGAAAATTGGTCGAACATTGCGAGCCTGAAGTCAGTGACATTGTACTAGTTGGAAGTGATGATAAGAAGAGAATGTTTTGGCTCTAGGAAAAACCCTTGAATTATTTCCATACATCAATAGTATAAGTCGATGTGCAAAAATTAAAACTCAGAGTGGTGAATTAATAAGAGTGGTACAGAGTCTTTACTCGCTAGAATTATCATCTGCAGAGAGACTTTATCTAACTAGTGATCCAAGACACCAGTTCAAGGCACTAGCTAAAAAGCAATCTGCAGCTGAAAGCACCTCAGCACAGAGACATAACAGTTTCAAATGAGGGTGACTTTCATATTACGAGACATGGAAAAATTGTTAAGAAAACCCAGAGACTGGATTTATGGTTTCCAATGTTGCAGTGTTCAATTCCTCATTTCTTACCTCAAGGTGAGAGGATGGAAGGAAAACTATTACAAGCTGCATGAAATATGGCGTCACTCTTGAATAAGAAATAGTTTCAGACTTTTAATAACGTTTTAGCACACATAGGCATTAGCCCAGAAGGGCTATTAGTCTTGAAACAGAATTTGTGTTGAATCCCTTTTCAAATTGTTGCCACCAAATATCCCCCTGTACTATATTTTAAGAAACTAAATAATGAAGAATCTACATGACTGTATGTATGTTTCTCGTATTGTGAAAAAACAATAGTATCAAAATTTGAATAGTCATCAAATTTTGGATAACATAGTCCTCAATTGGAACATGGGCACCTGGAAGCCCGAATTTGGAAATTGTTTTATTGTTTGTTTCATAATTTTGTAAAACTTCTACCGCATTTTTTATTAAAAAAATTCAACAACTTCAAAGCGAGCAGTGGCAACACTGTAAGGAATAAAACATTTTTATTTCCAGCATACGAGACTGCCTATCCGAAATTCTAAAGATTTAGTGTTTTTATATATTTTTAGCCCAATGTGGCATTAGCCCAAATGCTCTTGAAACATGTACATGTCTGTATATGAAAAAAAAAAAAGGCCCACCCCTTTGTGGCGTAATATAAAATCTGAAAGCTTCCAGATTTTATGTTTTTTTATATATGTTTTGTGGCAATGTTATCTCTATTCTATAATTTCTTTTTTTTTTTAATTGTAGATTTTCATTTGGTTTTAGATGTAAAGGTTAATAAATCTGAATTTAAGTCAAAGATTGGGCTAATCTTTGAATTATGGTAACTTCGCGATTTTTTGGTGAAAATTTGACCAGCAAGCTGCTAGTTTTTTTTTTTTTTTGGACGCCATTTTGTTTCCACGAAGTAAGGGCATGTTTTTTTTACTCAACATTGTTTTCCAACAATCTGCTAGCCTTTTATGGTAGAACGCATATGCTAGAACTTTTATGGAAGAAAAGTGCTTAATCATGACGAAGATTAGGTGCAAAATTGGGAGAAAGTACAGAATCGTCCACTGCTTGCCACGTTTTTAAGAATTGCACATACACGGTATCCATGTACACATCGACCTATTTTCACTTAAAAAAAAATCCCAGAATTGCACAAAAATTGGCATTGCGCACACTCTTGACTTTATCCATGTACACTGCTAAAGTCCTAGCTAGTAACCTTTATCGTCTTACCAAAATGTCGCCAAACTACCTGTTACCATATTCCAAAGATTAGCCAAAGATCGAAATCTTCCTTTAGAGATTGAAATATGCCTCATTTCTGGGTGTGAAAATTATTTGTAATTAGAGTTTAATTTTTGTTTTTGGAAAACACAGTTTAATAAACTCACTGCATTGCAAATGGCAATATTTCACGTTCCAACCTATACCAGTCAAAGACTAATGTCCCATGATGAACCTGTAAAGGCACTGTTTAACCTGCAGCATTTCTCGAGAAAAAAGTAAATCGATTATTTCTGGTAGGACAAAGGGGAGCGAAGAGAATTTTCTAAAGTTTAATGGTGTTAGCATTCCTATGGAAGATCATGTTAAAATATATGGTATGTGGTTTGTTAGTAAACTGAGTTAGAATGTCCAAGTAAATAAATATGTTCCGAAATTGGAAAGAATGCTGAATGCATTTAAATTCATTGCAAGCCCTTAGTGGGGTGCAACAAAAGCGGATCTTGTGAACATAGCAAATGCTAACATACGAGAAAGAATAGAATATGGTAGTTCTCTCTTCATGTCAACTTCTCAACATAATAAGAAAAAACTTGAAATTGTCCATAATTATGCTTTAAGACTGGTCATCGGGGCACCTATCAGCACACCTCTTCTATTGCTGTATGTCAGACATGCAGGAACTCAAGTGTTACTTAGTATAATAAATGAAATGGATCCTTAAAAGTAGCAAAACAATTCGAGATGTTTTGAAATACTGAATCAAGTATCAAAGATTTGTCTCAATGATTAACGGAAGATCCAACCACATTGCGTGCAGACAGAATTGAAAATGCATCTATGTTTGAGTTTGTGGGAACAGATTGAGCAGGACCCTTATAAGTAAAGCAGAATGACAAGGTATAGATTGTTTTGTTTACATGTAGCCTATTTAGAGCTGTGCATTTGGAGACAGTTTCATCTCTGCTGACAGAAGCATTCCTGTTTTCATTTGCTGCTTTATAACCAGACAAGGATGACCTAGAATCGTGTGTTATGACCACGGTACAAATATTAGAGGTACTTACAATTATCTAAAAGAAATAGACTGGGGGAAAGCTAATAGATTAGCTGAGATTCAATGTATTATGTTGAAGTTTCTTCTTCCCATGAAAGCCTAATGGCTTGTTAGAATTATTAAAGAGCTCCTTAGAAGATCTTTAAGAAAAGTTGTCATAATCTCTATGAACAGTTAGTGACAATAATATGTGATTGTGAAAGAATCATAAATTCTTGACCTTTCACATATTTATCAGAAGACATGAAAGATCTGATACCATTAACTCCCACCATGTTCTTAATTGTAATCGACAGACAAAATTCAAAAGTGGCAGACATCAACAATTTCTGCAAAGGAATAAAGTATCATGCTAATTAATCAAAGAACTGAGATTATATAATTACATAAATAAATTAATTGAAGCATTAGAAAGAAATATTGAGGGCAACTTATACAAAGTCATTGACAAAATCCTCAAATATATCAATTTCAAGTCAGCGACATTCTCCTTCTGGGAGACGATTTCAAAAAGTACTTAGACTGGCCTTTACCCAGAGTTACTGAATTATTTCCAGATAAAGTAGAAACTGTGAAACTAAAAACACAATATAACATACTAATTTGTCCTACTCAAAGAATTTTTCCTCTAGCAATTTGCAGTCCAGACTTGCCCATGGAGCCTGTTCCAAGAGAAGTTTCTTCTTCAAGTGACTAGCCAGCATAGTTGCTGGATCCAGATGATGACAACTCCAAAAAGTCTCCAAAGACTGTGATTTGATCTGGTTATGCTCTCAAAATGCAGCAGAAACTGAATTTAAGTGTTCAGGGACTATTTTGAGTAGCTATCCAGCAACTCAAAAGGGGAGAGGATATATTGCAGATGATATCACTTCACTTGCCAACCTGCATGAGTCAAAGACCAATGTCGCATGATGAACTATTATGTTAGAAATCCTTAGAATGTAGCAACAACTAAATGTAATTTCCTTAAAATTGTGTTTTGTTACGTGTCATACTATCTCTTCATTTTAAGAATTACTGAAGTAATGTTGAATAGATATTATTTATTGCTACTTTTCAGATTAGCCTTCGTTGCGTAATGCACAACACAATGGTTAATAAAATCAGCCACTTATTACACTCAAATTTCCAGGAAATAAAGTATATGCTAGTCTACAGAAAAACTGCTATTTATTAAACTCATCTCTGCTGCTTATAAAACTCAGATTGCAAAAAACTAATTCTTCAGGGCACGAATTTCTTACATGTACCTACCAAAGCTGTTTGTAGTCCACCCATTTCACTTATTATGGACCATGGCTTAGTTATTATTCAGGTTATGCAGTGCTTAAGTATAACAGGTTTGATCAAAATTTTTCTACCCTTCTGTCCCTATTCCTGTGAGAGACAGTGTTCAAAGCTCTCTGCTCACACTGGATGTCACAGAGACAAAATTTTCAGTCTTAAGTTTAAAAAAAAACAATCCTCCAGAGGCACTGTAAATGAGTAAGTGTTCTTTCTTGAATAACAGCTAATAAGATGTGTAATTTATTCATCTGTCTTTAAAGGTTTATGAATTCAAAAATCTTTCCTTTGGGACATATATGCTAAACTCGCAGAGAGTTCTCGAGTTCATATTCAGTAATAAAAGGAATAAAAAACAACTTGCAATTTTCTACATTTATTTATTAAAAAATGTTTCATAAAATAAAAAATACAAAATTGAAATTATATGTTTTATTCAGAAATAGTTTTTACTATCTTTTAATATTAAAAACGAAAATTATTTTATATCATCTGGATTCCAACAAAAATGTTTCTGTTGGTCAAGATTATCTAATTTCTGCATTTGTTCTGAAGTTAATGAAAAGTCAAATATATCCATATTCTCCTTTAGTCGTCCTAGATTAGATGTTTTGGGTATAACACCTGTGAAAATATTTAAAAGTATATTTATATTCCAATGATATTTGAAACATGAATTATTTGCTTCAAAATTTAATAATTCATAATATTTCACTATATTATTTTTTAAAATAACACTTACTCATCCCATGCTGTATTGCCCATCTCAACAAAACTTGGGCAGCAGTTTTATTACAATGCTGAGCTATTTTTATCACAGTAGGATCAGATAATAACTGCAATATAAAGTAAAATCAATTACACACACATAAGATTCCATCTATCTCTTTGACACAACTGTTTAATTAAATGTATCCAATAATGTTTAAAAACGAAATAATTTTTTTTCTTTGATTTTGCTAAAGTAAGCATTAAAAAAAAAATCCCCCCCCCATTTATCATATGATTTAATCAAAGATTATACAACTGGAAAGAAAATATATTTCTGTTTCCATTCAACAAAATAAAAACACATTTTTTTTCAATAAATTAAAATTTTGTTTTTCTAAATACAAAACTAAGTTCTGTTTAGAAGAAATAATTTAATTTTTATTTATATAAAAAGTAGCCATTCTATGCTGTGGCCAGCCACTTTACAAAATGACCAGACTTCAAGCTTTGCCTCTAGCCATATATATGTGATAAAAACTTGGAGTAACCTGCAACGGATTAATGATGGTCCTTTGCATTAATAACTTGGAGACACTTTACTACATAATTACTTACATAATTAGAAAGATGACACTCTACAGAGAGACTTGTAGACAGAAGTAGTCGAACTGAGCATAATCTTTATTGCTGGGCACGAACTAGTTATCGAGACTATATTTCTCATTACACATGATCATGAGTGCAATATGCACACCATAATCTTATACAGAGTATCACATTTTAAATAACAGCATAGTTAGCAGCCCAACAATGCACAGCAAAATGAAACAGCATTGAAGCAGGAACAGAGCTGCAAGCTAACTGCACATTTATCCAATATGGCAGCTCAAGGAAGATTTTGGTTTAGGATAGAAAAGTTTCAGTTCTCAGAGTTCAAGCTCCCAATTAACTACATCATCAGTGTTACACAAGCTGTGTGGCATAGATTAATCTAGAACTAGATCTAGATCAATTAATCTAGAAATGATGTAGAACAGAAATGTTATTATTATTTTTAGAATAAAGAGGAAATAACCAAATTAAAAATGAGGAATTAAGAGGCTATTACTAATTTAAATTATAAAGCTGATTTACATATATTTTATCTTACCTCTCTCTCTTTCTATATATATATATATATATATATTTGTGGCACAGCAAGGAAACTAATTAAGCATAAATTCTTACTTCTTTGCAACCAGATCTAGATCCAATAGACGAATATGCTTGAACATGAATTCCATTTTCTTTACAAAACTGTCGCAGTGAAGCTTGAGTAAGGTATGGATGAGCTTCGATCTTGTAATAAAATGTAAAATTTGTTATTAATTACAACTTATGTATAAATTATTCAATTAGAAATTTATAAAAATTTACTATACAGAAATGATTTATGCAAAACAAAAATCATGGAACACAATTTCTGTTTCAGCAAAACTGTGGATTAATTACATGCAAAGACTGCTACTTGTACTAAAGAAAACTATATTCAATGAACAATTTTGAAAGCTCTTGAATGTTTTTATACTATATATATATATATATATATTGCCTGAACTGGTACCTAAAAAATCAAACAATGCATTCAATTACAACTTTTTATTACAAAGTAATTCAGTCCATTTAAAAGAGAAAAAATATTTAGTAAACATACATAACAACTGCAAGTAGATTTTAGAATTTTAAATTTGAGTTTACATAAACTTAATGCAAAGGTTTAAAATTTCAGCATGATTTTGCAGTCTTTATTTACAGCAGAATTATCACATTACAGTTTCATTAGCAGCTTGTGAATGTCCTAAAAGAAAACTAATACAGTCAAAAGTCGTTAATCCGGACTCGTCGGGACTTTGGCGATTCCGGATTATCGATTTTTCTGGATTATAGATCATCAGTTTAAATCTGGTAAGATGGCATGCAGAAATTATAAAATTAAAAATATGAAACTGTAATTTATGAAATAAAGAACAATTATGATCTAAAGGGTATCAAAATTTACAAAAAAAAAAAGGCTTAATATTTATTTGCTTACTTTATTAAACATTTCTTTCAATGTAAGTTGTTTAAGTTGCTTCGTTTTATGTGATAATTCTTTCTCTTTAATTCTATAAACAGATATAATTTCTTCTTCCATTACAAAGTTCTGCTGTTGAAGTCCTATAATTGCTGTGTCGAGAATACCGACTAATTTGTCAATTGAAATTTTTTTGTTTTCAATAACCTCTGTGTCACTTTCTTCACTATCAGAAGCGAATTATAATGACGAGGAATTTGATTTAAATCATATCAAAGGCAGAGCACATTGAGATGAAATACTATGTTTAGTAAGGAATTATAAGTCAAATAAAACAAAAACATCTGCCCTGAAGATAAGGATAGTGCTGACAGATCAACTTCCAATTCACTGCCCGCCGTGTCGTTTCCCTCCCCCTGCAGAGCAGCGTGAAATTGATAAACATATTTCGGAATGATTAGATAATCAAAGGATATGCCTTTATCCATTTTTTGCAGCAATTCTACTTTCTGTTCAATGGACTTCGAAACATACTTTTGCTTTGTAGATCCTTTACATATTAGTAAATATATATCGGAAATTCTATTTGACATAATCAGAAGTTCAAGCTTACTTTTATAAAATTGCTCTAACAGTCTGCAAAAAATAATAAGCCGGATCCAATTCAAAGATTAAGGAAGAACGCAATCTGCAACATTAACTGAAATATATAATTAGATAATTTTAGCTTATATCGTCCGTTATACATTAACCTTTTGTGGCCGGGGCATTGGTAGCAGTAAAAGCTACCAAAAGATGGCAAATCTTGAACCGAATGCTTTTCCCCTTTAAGAAATCACCTCCTATTTGCAACAAAGATTCTTGTGTGTATTTTAATGGATTCACAGAGGGGTGATTCTATGTCGCAAAAGGAAGACCTTTGAAAGAGATAAGTGGTTAAAAAACCAGGGACGTCAAATTTGACATTTAACCCCTCTTTTCAGACTGGAAAATAGGGAAAAAAGACATGGCCAATAAAGTGGACATCCCCGTCTTTTCAAAGAGAAGGCTCTATGGCCACTATAATGGCCATCCCGTTTTCAAAAGGTTAAACGTGCATGCGCGTAAACGTATTATGTGCATGCGCACATGTATATTCGCAGCCGTAAAGGTCTTACGCGCACGCGTAATTGTGACACATGCGCAGAAAGTTTGTAGCTTTGATGTCCAGATTATAGATCATTCCGGATTATGGGTGTCTGAATTAACGACTTTTGACTGTATATGAAATGAAAATGAAACCGGTTTCATGAACTGGACTTTTCAGCAAATACTTTTGCACATTTAATACCAAACATAGGAAAGATCACTAGATTTAAACTAAAAAAAGCAGAATAAATAGAGGGAGGGGGGGAAGAGTCAAAAAAGGATTTACTTTATTTGAGTAAAGATCTCGTAAATTTTTCAAACATCTATTTATAAGAGTACTTCATGAAGCATTTCAAATTTCAGGATAATCAAATTTTGCATCTACCCTCCCAATTAAATTATACAATGATTATATCCTGATAAGTTAATTTGTTGTTATAAGTTTGATTTTTTATTATTAATCTGAAATTCATGATTTTAATATGAAACACAGTACTGTGATATGATAAAGAACTATTTTTATTTCTAGTCATGATTAAAAGTTAAAAATTATGGTACCTTATTGGTAAATGGGCAGCAGCTGTCACCAGTCACAAATGCTGGTGTGAAATGTAGTTTAAAATAGTAATTGCAATCCTAACAATGCATTCGAGATGCATTGCGGCTTGAAAGTATAATTGAACATGAATACTTAGGGGGGAATAGTAGAGTTTCTTGATGTAAATAATTCTATCATACTAATTTAAGGTTTACAATCTTTTCTACTCTTAATATAATTATTTGTAACAGCAACATTATGGTGATTGTCTTTGTATTAAAAACATCTTCACCTTAGGTTATTTAAACAAAATCTTTCAATACAGATAATTCCTTTTGTCCTGAATAAATTTAATGGTGAACTTTTTAATGTTAGATTCTTCACAATTTAACAACTGGCAAGTTATAAAATCCACCTTAGTTTTTTTCCTTGTGTGAAAATGTGTTTGGATTAGAACAAGATGAGCCATAGTATTTGACGTGCTTTACTAGTAAGACTGGTTTCATTGGCACACATGTGAACATTTTGGTCACTGCTGTTTCGACTGAACAGTAACAATATTCCAGTCTTCCTTGATTAAAAGGTTTATTTAATTACGGCAAAGCAAACTAGGGCTATCTGCCTAAGGGAAGGGATGACGTCGTGGAGGACTTTCTACGGGAAACTGGCTTGTATACACGTTACACTTGGGGAAAACCACGAAAACGCCCATGCAGCCAGTCCGTTCGTGGGATTCAAACCTCGGACCGAACTACCAAGTGTTCAGCGACTTTACCGCTCGGCCGCTGGTGGGCCCCACTTGTTTAAAAGAATACACGGCTAATCTTCACTTATAGACATGCATTTAGTTATATTTGGCAATATTTATTTGGGGGAAAACTGCAAATTGATAACAAACAGAATATGGTAGCTTACTTATAAACATAAAATTTAAAAGAATAAAACTAGCAATAAACCTACTCAGATTAATTAATAATTTAATGCAATATCTCAATAGCATTTTTAATGTGGTTGTTATCAGAAAAGATATATGATTAATCTTCAAGTGTTAAATGTTGCTGAAATTTTTAATGCATACAGCAAAATTCAGCAAATTAAAAATAACTACATTTGTTAGCATTTGATCCATCATCTGCTTTGCAGAAACATTTCCACAATTCAGTGGCAATGGAAAAGCATACAAGCACCTTTTCATCAAAGAAATGATCTGCTTATATGAACTTTCTAATTAATGCAATATTTGCAATAGATAATAATGACCTATAATTATCACGATTAAGTTTTATAGACAAATGTTTCTTATGTGAGGCAAATATACGTTTGGCAATAAAAAAGAATGAAAAAGGTTAGTTGAATAAAACCTTTTTACTTTGAAAGTACATACTTTGATTACAGTCATTCATTGCATTGAAGTATTTATTTTATCCCAAGACAAGTTTTTGATACCCTTTGTCAAACACTTTTGCCACCACATGAATAAGAATGCAGTTACTGTTTGGTAGAATTTATCATTTTCAGTAAAACATACTCCCTGCCCCCCCCAAAAAAAACTGATTATCCTGTATCATAATGCCTTGTCACATCCTGTTACATTCACATAATATTTGGTTCAGAGTTTCCCGTGGAAAGTTTATGAGCAGCCAATTTATATCTGACCTTGCCCTGACGATTACCAAAGTTTCATGAAATTATGATAGTTTGGCTGCAAAACACTTTGCTGACAGCAAAGAACTTTAATAAATAACATCTACATTCAACAACTTCAGTGGCAAAGAAGCCTACGTGAAATAGCAGCCTAATAACTTCAATGACAAGTTATGCATTTTCAAAATAGATTTAGTTCAATAAAGTTCTTTCACCTTTTTTTATGTGCCTTAGCAGTGGTTGAGCAGCTAAGACCATTAAATATTGGTAGTTTGACCTGGCTTTGAATCTAGGCAAAGAAGTTGGATGCATAGATATTTTTTTATGGTCTTCTCCAAGTGTAACATTAACACAAGCCAGTATTCCTTAGAAAGGTTCTCCATGAAGGCATCCCTTCTCTTAGGCAGAAGCCTTTGTGCGCAATGCTACATCCAAATGACCTAACTTTCTTTTTATAGCACAGACATACTTCTTACTGAACAAGTTAAATGTCTTTAAATTAAAAAGAAACATTTAATAAAGAAATTAAGGTATTGCATTTTTTACACTACTATTTAATAAGACTATGAATAATTTTATTTTCTGATTTATTACCAACTTCAGATTAACAATGACATGTAATTTTCATTTGAAGACTGTGAGCATTTTATAGCATGGTAAGTAATAATTTTATTAATATGTCAGGTTAGCATAACATTTAGGTAGCGGTAACACAACAAAAGATAAAAGGTCTCTGAGACAACATTGTAACATAATCTATGAACAACTAAAATTTATTATATTGTAATTTTATGTACATATATGGACATATTAAGTTTTTTAATAATAATATTTCTAAAATAATTTTATATATCACATTCAAAACAATAAATATGTTGATTATAAACTAAAAATATACTTCTAGAGATACATAAAAATAAAGATGAAATTTCTGAAAAAATACCTGTAAAACAGCAGGGACTACACTACAGTACTGGAGCAATTCTTTTATATGTTGTATAGTGTAATTAGATATCCCAATAGCTTTAAACTTACCTAAAAATCAAACAAGTTATTTGTTAAAATATAACTATGAATCAATGCACATAGTTAATTATATTTATTTTACAGAAAATTATAGTATATAAATAAAATAACATAGCCATTATTTGTATGTACAAATTTCGGCAAATATCCTAAAAGAACCCAAAATTTCCTTTTAATGCAGAAGTCTATCATTCAACAATCTCTTTTCAACTAATTAAAATAATTATATAAAAGCATCAATAGAAGAAAAGTATTTTAAAAATCAGGTATGCTTTTTGCATTAAATAACTAATGAAATTAAAATATACAGAAGATGGCTGAATACTGGAAACATATGTGAAATATTATTCAGATCACGTTGGACGACTTGAATACAGCGTGTAATTTGTGTAGAATAGTAGAAAATAAATGTTGATTAAATTTAATGGGAATTTTATACTATTCTTTTAGCAAAAATTGATATATTATTATCTTAAAATTGCTTGTAAAATTTCAATATTATTAAAATCATATGTAAATCTCACCATAGGATAATCTTTATACTGTCTTTATGATTCTCAAACCAAGTTTCGACATGATTGAAGAAGTTAATGCAAGTCATACTGCTTTCATTTAATGCATTTCTTCCTTTTATTACACCTTTCCTCAAATGTTTTTTATTCTGTCAGAATAGAATAAAGCTGGACAGGCATCAAACAAGTTGCACACAAACGCTTCCACTTAACCATCAGTCTCAAATCACTCACCCCAAGTGCTTCTTTGAGGGGTCTGAACATTTGAAAATCCAGTATGAAAAACCCATGGCCAAGACCCTCCCAACAGAAAAACAAATTTTGGCTTTAACAGGGTTTTAATCCCCTTCCTCCTCTATTCTACACTTGCACACTTTGATTCCAGTTTGTAATGATGCACCTATCTTTCATCACAGATGACGATTTCCCATTCTTCTCCAAAACTAGTTTAAAGCACTGAGAAATGTGAACCCATGCAGCTTTTTTATCATCATTCCAGTTTGATTATCTTCACAGAAGATGACAGTGATGAGCTTGATTTGCAACACATTTAACAAATCACATTTGTGTTCAGAAGACCTTTTTCTTTTCAGCATTAGGGAAGGCTCTGTGGGTATTTTGGCTTTCAGTCACATTTTAATTTCATGGATGATTATTCATTATATACAATCCATCTTTGGGAAGAATATCTCTTTCTTGAAGAAAAAGGATAGCCATTGTTCATGTCTTGCAAATCCCAAGTCATGAAAGAAGTTAAATCAAAATGGCAATACTTGACCACCAGGAAATACATACAAGTGGTTATGGTTTTCACAGAAGTACCACACTTTATTTACAATAAAATAATTTTCATTGGAACAACTACATTTATCGATCAATGCAACCACAAATTAGTATTAACTCTGAAAATTCCATAAAGGTCTAATGCAGAGAAAAATTCTCTGTATCGATTATTTAGCAAATGTTAAACAAAACAGTCAAAGGAATTAGCATGCTCTTTGCATGGATTATAAGTTTCAGAACCTTTATAATCACTTTATCTGTACAGTTTGTTTATATACAAAAGACATCAAAAGCACCAACAATTTTAATATAAATTATTTTGTGAAAAATTTATCCACATATGTAAAACTTGATATAAAAAATAAACTTTTACATGCTTGCTAGAATTCTTTTGGAACTATCAGAGATCAAAGCAGATCGTTATCTACAGAACTGAAAGAATTTTAATAAATATAACACTTGAATCCAGTTTAACACATGCAGAATTTCATCTTTGTAACATATAATGCAATTTTAGGACTATCATTATAAGTAAAACAGATGATATCTTTCAGCAGTGGTAGTAATAATAACAACAATGAGCATATTATCGAGAGATGCAAAATACAGAAGAGGGTGCACCTTTTGTGATTTTGTTGATATGAGACAAGACACCTCCATGGTTTTGGGAGACACCTCATGGGTTTTTGTGAATGATATTTTGTTTTCACCCAAAAACACAAACTGTCAATTTGCTTATTACTGACATATTTATGTTGGCCGCAATGAAATTAGGAATATTTTTTTCACATTCTCTGGCATAGGAAGTGGATGTTTCACCATGGGTGTTACACAAGGCATAATGTCCGAAATTTAGAGGGGAGACAGCAGATGAGGTCCTTTTCCTCCCTCATCTACGACAGAAAGGTGGCCAACAGATTCATTTATTGTAAACTAAAATGAAAATATTTTTGTAAAAAATAAAACCATACTTAATTCAGAGATGCTATTCTAACTTTCTTACATGCTCTGCATGTTACATAGCTAGCAATTCTCCTGGCTCTATAAGAGTATACCTACTTTTTCATCATATCTCTTGATGAATCCCAAAATGTACCACTTTCCTTTCAGCTTTTACTGAGAAAAATCTTTTCCAGCAATCAATGAAATATATTGAACTAATAAAATTTAAATTGTGCAAATTCTATTCTTCCACCCTTTGTAATTTTCAGCATAATCTCTGTTATTAAATTTTACTTGATATGAATTATATTAATCTACAGTAGACATTTGTAAAATTTTTATGAAGCTTCAATCAAAGTTTAATCACTTAACATTTATATTCAATGTTATATAACATCACTACATAAGTACATTACTTAGTTCATTTACTCAAGAGCATGTACATTAATTATTAATTTTATTTTCATTATATTTAAAAGTGCTTTTATAAATACAAATTTTCCTTCCCTACTTAAGATTTTTTTTTTTTTTTCAGTATAAAAGTGTAAGAAAATTACAAAACAAAATTTTTCTATGAACATAAAATTTAAAATACCTAATTAAATACTGTAGCCAATTCTTTAAGATAAATTATAAGACTCATTCTAGCAATGAGGTTACCCTCTGATGAGTAGCCAGAGAAAGACTTCAGTAAAGGTCAAGTGATGAACCTGTTAGGTTGTATCAGACTCTTGCTCTGTAATATTCTTAAAATTATATATGATGTTCATGTATAACTTAAACCTGTTAATAAGTTATTGTTACACTATAAAGGACTCTTTTATGACTCCCCACAATATTAATATATTTTACATCAGAATCATATTACAAATAGTTCAGTAACCTGAATCTTGCATCACAAACATAATTGAAATTTGGAGTCCTTTTGAAAGGGTGTCATCATGCAGTGAAAAATACCTCCCAGAAACTCCAGGTTCTTCCATATTTCAAATTGGGCAGCTATGATGTTACAGGTGTTTATACAAGTTTTAGCTACATGGGGAGGAATTTGTGGCTAATCTTTGGAATATGGTAACAGGTAGTTTGGCGACATTTTGGTAAGGCGATAAAGGTTACTAGCTAGGACTTTAGCAGTGTACATGGATAAAGTCAAGAGTGTGTGCAATTCTGGGATGTTTTTTTAAGTGAAAATAGGTCGATGTGTACATGGATGATACCGAGTATGTGCAATTCTTAAAAATGCGGCAAGCAGTGGGCGATTCTGCACTTTGTCCCAATTTCGCACCTAATCTTCGTAATGATTAAGTACTTTTGTTCCATAAAAGTTCTAGCATAAGCGTGATTTGGCTAGCAGATTGTTGGAAAAAAAAATGTTGAGTAAAAAACAAAAACATGCCTTTACTTCGTGAAAACAAAATGGCGTCCAAACAAAAACTAGCAGGTTGCTCTAGCAGGGTTGGTCGCCAAATTTTCGCCAAAATTCGGCAAGTTACCATAATCCAAAGATTACCAAAATTCGCTTTCCTTTTTTTTTTTTTTTTTTTCAATTTTTGGTCTTCGTCCTCCCCCAATAGAATTATTAGAAAACTAGTAAATTTTAAAATGAGAGTATTATTAGAAAACTAGTAAATTTTAAAATTAGAGTATTATTAGAAAACTAGTAAATTTTAAAATGAGAGTAATTTTTGACAAACAATCTATTGCAATATCAGTAATAACATATTATCAGTAATAACAATATCAGTACAAACATGATTTCTCTTTGAAAACTGAATTTTAATACAACAATACCTTCTTTATACATTTTTTCTAATTGTAGCCAGCTCTGCTTTCTAAGCTCAGCATTCATAGGGTTATCAGGCTTCATGCCAGCAGATCCTGGCCAGTGAATGAGGTATAAATCTAAATAATTTAACTGTAGTGTCTCCAAAGATGATAAAGCAGACATTTTTGCTTTTTCTGCACCTTGATGAGTTGGTCCTGTAAGAAAATATTTACTTTATGTAAATCATATATTATGCAAAACATTATAATAATTAAAAAGTTAAAATGATTAAATGATTTTACCTCTAAAATAATAAAAAACCATTAAAAGAAATAATATTGAACAAAGACAATATAAAATTTTATTACTTTGCCTAATTTTGAAATTCTTATGTTAGTCCCTATGCCCCCAAAAAAGAACTTTCAAACAATAAGCATAGAATGTACCAGCCAGATTGGCTTCAAAAATGCATCTCACAACCATCTCTACAGCTAAAATTATTTAGTTAACTAAGATAATTCAAATCCAGTTAAATGTGTGTTCTCCAGTTTACTTCCCTCTGTTTATAACCTCCACTTTGCCAATATAAGCAAATTAGAAGTATTATTTAACTCATAATAATATCAAATATAGATTACCTCTGACTTTCAATTGTTCTATTTAAGATTTCTGATTTTACAAAACAAAATAGTTGCTACAAATTCCTTAGAAAGTATACTTTGAGAGCAGATCATTTTCTAGGACTGCAAAATGTTCTACATATGGTACTATGTTCAATGCATATGAGCAAAGGCATTGATTGGCAGATGTGTCCTTTCTTGCTAAGGAAAAAATGTAATACATGTAGTCAAAAATCTGATGTCTTTTTGAAGAAAACAACACCTATTAAACCATAAAAAAATGCCAGTGCCACAGCTTCTTCTACCAACCATTTCAAGCCTCATATTGGCTTTACCAAACCTTTCAATGAATGACATTGTAGTATATAGAATGGCACTGTAATATATAGCAGTATCTTCCATCTGAGTAACTGAAAAGTTTAATGCTTCAAATATATTTCAGGCCCAGCATGCTTTCAGCTGGTTCATTAATGATGAGTATCATGCTATCACACCTTTTTAATTCTTAGTATTCTTAGTATAATAAATTATTTTAGGCATTTTATTATAAAGTATGCTTAAATAAATAAAATATAACAAACAATGTTATTTTGCTCTTTTCAGAGAACATTTAAAGATAAATTTAAAAAAAGTTTTTGTCTTTGGTAACAGGTTTCTTAGATGCAGTTTTCACTACATTTATCAAAATAATAATCTCACTGAAAATCAAGGAAAATCCATATTCCACTGTAAGATAGAATAACTGTGATTTGTACTTTTGATTATTTTATATATAGATTATGCTATGCTGCAATTTGAATATGTTAATATACACATAGGCTACATGCATGACAGAAGGAATGTTTTCGTGGAGTAAGGAAAACCAGCTAGTATTCACATGACAAATTAGCAAAACCATGAAAAATAACCATAACGTAAGCCCATTTGCTTGGAATTGACAGCATTCAGCGATTTCAACCACTCTGTCACTAGTGAGACTTTATACAGATTAACTTCATAAAATAAGAGATAGGAGAAGTAAGTATGCTGGCATAATAACATTACATGAAAATTATGCCATATTATAAATTAAAGCATATATGAAATAAAAGGAAATTATTAGTGCTTTACTAGCATTCTTAATGCTTAAAATTTTTCTTAATATTCTATTGTACTATAAAAATATGGTAAAATATTTACATGAAAACGTTCTAAAAATGAAATTTCCATCTATGAATCTAAATCAACAATTGTGTTAATAAAGCTTCTAAAGACTATTTTACAATGGGATATAACTTAACAAAAATTATCAGTATACATAGAATTTTATTTTTACCTCATACTTTAATTTTTAGATCTACATATAGCTAGCTATTCATATCCAGCATCTTAATACAGATAGCTAATTGTGCACCTAAAAAACAAAATACAAGTTCATGTAAACACAAAAAATCATACTTCCATTTTCTAAGCGAAAGAATACAAAATGATTCCTTTTACAGCTAAGAAACATATGCATATCTATTTGTTAACATCTGAAACTATTTTCCACTACATGAACAAAATTATATTTTTTATGTGTCAAAATCCCATAAGTCCTTTCATTATGTGTCAAAATAGAAACTACTGCGAACCTACAAGTCAAAATACTTAATACACAATACAGTGCAAAGTTCAAGATCCAAATTCATTGGGACTCTAGCGATTCTTAATTTCGAAATTTTCCGGATTTTACATCATCAGTTTAAATGTAGTAACATGACATGTAGAATTATAAAATTAAATGTGTGAAATAGTTGTTTATGAAATAATGTAGGATTTATGATCTTAAATGAATCAAAATTTAGAACAATTGCTCAATATTTATTTATTTGTTTTATTAAACATTTATTTCAATGTTTAGTCATTTAGGTTGTCTCATTTTTCATGCTAATACTTTTTCTTTAATTTTATAGATAGACATAATTTCTTGTTCAGCAATAAGTTTCACCTATACACTAACGAAGTTAGATGCTGTAAATGCCGAGATAAACTTTGCAGCAATACTTGCCCTAAGAAACAAGACGGAACTCCCACATGTTTATTTTGCGGGGAAAATCACGTATCCAGCTACTGTGGTTGCGAAGTGTACAAGGAGAAATTTGACAGGAAACCAGCCCCCTGCAAAACGACAGAATTTACTTTCAAGAATGATGATTTTCCACACCCTACAAAAAATCCAGAAAGAAATATCCTTCCACCTCAGAAAGCCCTGTACAGCAAAAAACTAAAGAGTAAACTTAATCAAGTACCTGCAGACAAAAGCGAAGCTATTAACTGGCTGCGAGGCAACAAGATACAAGAATTTCTCAGAAAAGTCATACAACTCATCGAAAATATCAAGAGAGTGAAAACTACTGCAGAGAAACTCTCCTTTGGCTTTAAAGCCACCACGTACCTTGTGAAGATTGCAGATGAAGACTACTAAGGATCTTACAACACAAGGAAATTAAGAAATTCTACATTCTATTTCTATTTTCTTCACATTTCAACACCTATTCTAAGTTCCAGTTTACTGGTTTTCAAGCAGCATTGAGCGGGGTCAGTTTCTGGGAGGGTGACCTCCCACATGACTGGCTCCGACGAATGAGCAGTTAGAGTCTAACGACAGGACTTGTTACGAGTATACACAGGACTTTTTTCGCACCAGCTCGACGGCTCACGCTTATCTAGCCGCTAGTAGCAGATTACCATCCTTTATGCTACTTTTTTCCGTCTTTCAGCTCCCAGAACAAAAATTTATGTAATTTATTCTGACATGTTTATTATGACTTTTGTTGTTTTTACATTTTTGTTCTAGAGAATAACTGGTTATTTCATCAGCTTAGGCACCCTGGTATCTCAAACACCGTTCTACTGGGGAAGGTAATGAAGTTTCACTGCTCGAGTGTAGCAACTCTCATGTGAAAAGTTCCACCTCCAGTCAATCGAAATTTTTTTGTTTTCAACAACCTCTTTGTCACTTTCTTCACTATTCTTAGCAGATCCGCTGCAGCTCCAAAATCAGAAACTGCTTTGATGTAAGCCAAAATTCAAGCTTTAATTTTCATGAGGTGTTGTAATAATAATAACAGCCTGCAAAAAAAATAACATGCTGGATCAAATTAGAAGGTTAAGGAACAATGGAATTTGCTATGTTTACGGAACTTAAATCCCTTGGAAACAGTAATGTTTCTTTTAGCATATGTGCTAAATTCTCAGCTAACATCTGTTATACACTACAGATTTGGCTGCTCAAAACATATTGTTCAGCTAAATTTTATTTTGCTTCTATTTCCTGTTGAGGAAAGTGAGCCTGAATTATATGTATTATACTTATGTGTATTTCTAACACATGCTTAAGGCCTGCTTGAGTCCTGAATAAATTAAGTCTCCACATATGCTTAACGCTTAATTCATGCTTAAGGCTTAATATGCTTAGGCACTATGCTTAAGCTTAAGGCTTAGTAAAAGTTTACTATGATGTTGGTATTCAATTACAAATATTAAAAATAAAAATGTTTTAGACTTGGCTGCCTGAGTCATTTCTCAAGCTGTTACGAGCTGATAATCATGCCATAACAGATAATCATGCTGATAATCATTAACAAAAAATAATAAAAAAATTATTCCCCAGGATGCTATCAGGGATATAATTTATTATTCAATAGTTGTAAAATCAGTGATGAACTTTGTTGGAATGCTTAGATTTGAGATGTATACCAACCAAACACATGGCTATGGAGCCAAATTATTGATTATATAGATTTCTGCTAAAAAGTTATTTTGTTTCTTCAACATGGAGGTGTCTTATTTTGAAATTAAGAATCTAAAACCTTTATATATGTACTTTATTATGTCTACAGTGCAAGCCTGGAGCATTAAGCACATGATAATTAGGAGACCCTATTCTCCAAATCTAATATTTTTCCCTTTTTTGCAAAAAATTTCCTAAAAAAAAAAAAAAAAAACTACTGGTAGTCTGAAGGTCTGGATATCTGATATCCAGATTATGAATTTTCTATTGTATCTAAAACCAAATGCTCATCTATCTAAATTATTATCATTCAAAAACACACATACATAATATTTATTTATTAACTTATCTTTTTTACTTTATTTATGGCAGATAATTGTAATTTTTTTCATTATTAAAAAAAACAGCTTTCATCTTTTAGATGGCATGCTTCCTACCACAGAGATAAAAATTTGTGTCAGCTTTCAGTCTAGCTGAAAAATCAGACTGAAAGTTTCTTTTCTACCCCTTTCCCTTATTTGTTTAAATTCATGACAGTATTTTGATTTTCTAAAGATTCATTACATTTAAAACCAACTCACTTTTATTTCATATCACATTTTATATTTTTCATATTTTAATCTTCTATCACAATGAAACTTATTTTAATGTCTTTGTCCTATTTTACAAGAAATGAATGCTGATATAGTTGGTATCTGAGACATACGGTTTCAGAAAAATAAAAATGAAGTCTCTAATCACAATGATAATACTGAACTATCAAAAAAAATTACAAAATATGAAATCAATAATAAAACAAATTACAAATTTGGTCTTCCACATGCCCATATTCGTAGGATGATTACATCATTCAAAATTTGATGGCTTCTATGTACCATTGTTTTATCACAATGCGAGAAACATACATACATTTACACATATCTTTCATTATTTAATTTCTTCAAATATAATGCAGGACTCTAACATTTAGTGGCAACAGTTTGAAAAGTGAAACGGACATTTATAGTGATTCAATGCAAAATCACAAAACAAAAACAATAGTCCTTCAGGGACAAAGCCCCTCTGGACTTTAAAAAAAGTGATAATCAAGATTATCCAGAAAATTCTCCTGGCTCTTCTATGCTAAATCTAAGTTGAATATTGATAAAAAAAAAACAGCAACTCAGAGGAATTGAAAATATCAATGACATTGCAACAAATCATTTTAAAGAACTATCAAAAAGTGTTTCTATAGCTCTGTAATTGCGAACAGAACTGCACAACTGCTGAAGATGACGTTTAGATGAAAATATAATTTTAATATTATTAAAACATTTGCAGGAAAAAAACTTTAGGCATCATTCTTAATAAATATTGTTAATCTAGTTTAGTTACATTTATAATTTTAAAAAAATCTTTATATATTTCTATAAATACATTAAAAAATTCTGAATAATAACTGAAATTTTATTCACCTAATTTGCTTGTAACAAAAACATCTTCTCTAAGAATATTTGCAGAATTCACTTTTTTTAATACTTGACCAATAGATGATTCATTTCGGTATACTGCTGCTGTATCTAAATACACACACACACATATATATATATATGCATATTAAAAAATTCTAAATATCATAAACAAGTATTAGAAATTAATCACATCTATTTTATAATAGTGAAAAGATATTATAAACAACTGCCAAAATGACCAGGTTTTCAAATTATGTTCACATACATTATTTCACTCACCCATTATTCACATGCAATAATTCACAATGGATTAATAAATAATGGATTTATAACATCCTTAATGAAAAGAACATGAATAGTAAAAAATAAAATAAAAATAATTGCCACCACCAAACAATACAATATAGTTCTGAATTTTTGACAGCACTTAAAAAAGTTAATTCTGTGTGCTATTAAAATTTTTTTGGTAATCTGAAAAATACTTAAATGATCAAACTGTAAACACTGTTAATTTGTTTAATCCTTTCCTTTGTTTATGGAAAAATAAATCTAGTGTTGAATGTATCACCAGTTGATGCATTGTTAAGTGCACTGTGAGTTGTAGTGTGGAGAGCATCGAGAGTTCAGAGAACGATCGAACAGAGTCAGGAGCTGTACTCTGGTGCTTTGCCATGTCAGACCTCCTGGGGTCACAGAAAGTGTTGTTTTTGAACATTCTGCATGCTTTTCTACAACTTCTGAACACTGCACAAACATATCCCAAATCAAAAGCACAGGTTTCCATAAAAGTGCACCTGCTTTTTTGCACCATACATTTTGAAATCAATCAATCATTAGGGTGTCGTCCATCCAACTATTTTTCTGGGTACAAACAAGAACGTCTGCCAGAAATGTCTTTTTCGGTAACATTTTTCACTTGAAAATAATCATGGTAGGCCAATTATTGCTTATAAAATGGAAACAAAAGATAAAACTTTTGTGTTTTTTTATGTATGAACGATATATTTAATAATCACGTTCGCTGGCGTGTCATCGATCAGCGGATCTTTTCTTGTAGGTTCCGTGTATAAGTCGACCCCCTACTTCAAAGTTTGATCTTTCTCTTAAAACTGTCAATTTATATGCGGGTATATATTGTTATCCTGCATAAGGTATATTTGTATAACCATTTATAATATACATATGCATAAAGTTTTCACATTTTCAACTGTAATGCATGTTTTAAAGGCCATGCAAAATCTTTTAACTTTGGATATACAGATATGATCTGAATTGCCAATCCACTCCTTAATTAGGGTTTGGCAGTTAGTAGACATATTCTTTAAAAGTAGCTAATAACACTGTTTGACTCATACCCATGGTCAGAATCACTATCTAAGAAAAATGAACTTCTTCATAATAATCCAATCACATTCATTAGTCTCTGCACTGTTACAAGGCAAATTTTGCAACTAGAGTTAATGTAGCACAAATCATGGGTTTCCTTACACACTGCCCTCTTTTATTCAGATTGTCACTGATGATACATCTGGATAGTCAAATTCCTGTAGCTACAATGAATTCTCTTGCAATCTGAACTACTGCTGCCAAATAATGGTCCTGAGAGTCTATTGTGGAACACTTAACTTTGACCTTGTTCTATACATACATTAATAATGTTTTAAAACTATTTCTGGATTTTTGACATGGATTCTGGTTAAATTCATGTCTTTAACAGACCCATTTCAGCGTCTGCCCTACTTCCATTCTCTATACTGCATGTTATGTATTACAACTTATCAAAGGCTTTCTCAATGATATATTCATGTTCTATACCAGATGTGTCAAAAGAACAGGCTAAGTATATTTCTTTGTAATGAGATGAATCCCGCTGGACTATATGACAACACTGAGCTACCCATCAAGCACCTCTTACTAGACTTCAGCTAATCAAATTAATATCGACTTCAGTTAATCGAATACACCTTTTATAGTTGCTCTTCTAATTTTTTCCACTAGTGTAAATTTCATCTTTTATAAAGTAACTACTAAATCTAAACACATATTTATTTTTGCTATTTCAAAATATACAATTTTTTTTTTTTATTTAAAAAGTACTGCAAATAGTTTCTTTCGTGTTATATTTATTTTGATAAAAAATATTAAATAAAGCAGCATATATAAATAAATATATTTAATGTTTGACTATAACATAATATAGGACTGTTACTGAAGATCAAAATAAAATAATAATATAAATTTTAAAATGTTTATAATTTTAATATGAAAATTATTTTACCATATCAGTCTTACATAATTTTTCAGTACTTAGATGTTACTGCAACTACCTTAGAAGAAGTTGGCAAATTTTAGAATATGAAAAACTCTGGCAAACATGTTCATAATAATCCTTTATTCAAGCAACATCGCCATTTTCATATGCATTTTTTTTTGTTTTTGTTTTGTTGTTGTTGTATTCCCAGTTTCAACAGGAATACAACAAAAAGAATGCATATGAACAAATCATGATATTTTTTGCCTTAATTTTAAAATATGCACTTGTGGAATCAGCCAGCAATAGAAGAAAATGCAGCAAAATTTCTGAAGAAATACAAGTTTTGTTGCTAAATCTCTAAAAGGAACAACAAGGAGACGTGTTTAGTAGATAGGTAGTGTTGCCGAGTCTCTGCAATTCTTTGATTCTTTAAAAGCAAAAACAGATTGTTGTGTACTTGTGGAGAATATCAAAAATAAAATACAGAATGATTTGAGATAAGAATATACGTGCTTTATTTTTTTTAAGTTTAATAATTAAAATTTGTATTTTAAATTGCTAAAGTGTATTTTCTTTTTATATGTTAACATTGTTGGCCAATTTATGTTAAATGTCAATAGCTTGGATATTGTACTAAGTTATACCAGAAAAGCAACTTTTACCTTTTCATCTGTAAAATATCACAAAATTGCGCCAATATGATCATGTTAATATGCAAGTACCCACTTTTTCATTTAAAATAATTTAAAAAAAATGTTCTTTCCTGTTGAAGTAATAATTTTTTTTTTAACCTTTGCATTGGTTTATATATAGAAGCAACTTTGATAACTGAACAAACTTTTCAGAAACATTTCTACATGAGAAATTCATTAAAAATGTCCCTATAACTGACAAACAGTAACTAAAAGTTTATGAATTTTGATATACAACCATAAAAACTATAACACAGAATTATTATTATTTTTTTTCTAAATTGCATAGTATTCTATGATAAAATCCTGTCTAAAATGATTTGATTTTATAGGATTAAAGAGAACAGTAAAATTAAATGACATAATTATTTATGAAATTATTCAGCACTTATTTATTTCATGAAGAAAAATGATGCAGTTTTAAACTATGTGCATATAACTGCATTAAAAGGGTCAGCTTTTTTAACAGTCTTTGGAAGAAAATAATAAATGAATTATAATTACAAAATGAAATATAAATTTTTGATAATTTTTCTTAGTGCAGCACTATAATACCTATTAACCGGTAGCCTTGCCTTAAAGCTGCTTCTGTAATAGCTAGAACATCAGGAGATTGAAGAAGGAATGTTCCAACTGCAATACAATAAAATACTATACATTAAAATTTTCAGTTCCATTAAATAAAATAAGTAAATAAATAAAATAAAAAGTTAAAAAATAAGTTATATAAATATGCAAAATTTCTGAACATAAAATTGCAATCTTTTAATATGCTAAACTCAGTAAGATTTATAATACAGTAAACCTTTTACAGTAGCCACCATCTTACTATTCCTGAGAACATAACTAATCAGCAGTACTGGCAATTATAATGTTCTTTAAGAATTCCTTAATCCATCGAACACATTTTGTGATTACAAAAATGTTTTAATTTCTGTATCATTCTTAAATATTTTCAAGTACCACACAAATTATAAAATCAATCTTCAACAGGAAACTACTTTTTCATGGAAAATATTTTTTTTCAATTTTAGGTACTTACATATTATCCTGCTGACCATGAATGTTGGCTACCATCAAACCATGAAATTTAGCTGAGATTTTGTCATTCTGCAGAATTCAAAAAGAACTGATGCCTCTTTATTTAACAAACAATTAGTATGTGGCCACTTCATTTTTGTGCTTCATAAAAAGGCTTTCACCAATTTCTACTGTTTTGTTACAGACCCTGATTTTACAAAAAAAAAAAAAAAAAAAAAAAAAAAAAAAATCTGCTCAGAACGTTATAATACAAACTTCGTGCAGGAAACTATTCCAATCTGTTAAGTGTTTTGTTGGCCATATTCAGGTCAGCATGTCACATTCATTAACCCTTTGACGCGCGGTGGTCGCGCCTCGAAACCACCAATTTTCGAATTTTTTTCTCCTCTTCCTTCCGAAATTTTTGAGTGAAATTCAATTGATTACTGATCTTTTACCTCCAGATAGCACAAAATGACTACATAATCATACATGTTTTAGGTCTTAGTACTTTAAATCGGATGCCTTTTAAAATTTGTTTTCAATGAGACAAAATAACTTCCTTTTATTAATATAAACAACTTTAAATTTCAAAAGTTATTCATCGCACATCATGATTTCTACCTTAAGCAATAAAAAATAGCAATAATTAAACTGCATATATATATAAAAAAAAACCTCTATATGTATGGCATTTACTTTGTGGTTTCAGGGCACGACCACTGCCCCACTAGAGCATTGTGTCACAATGCTCTAGAGGCTCGGTGGTCGCGCCTTGAAACCATTGCTCTTCACGATGGCGTTTGCTTGCTTCTCAAATAGGAATGCTTATTTTTACCGGGATATAGATAATGGGTTTTGAAATCACAGAGTTATTTCATTACTAAACAATACATGCACCTGCCCAGTAAAAAGGTCTTTCTTTTCCAGCGACTTTCCTCTGACCTCAACACACTTGCTCCCCAAGCTAGTATTGCGATTTTATAAATTATTTACTGTGGTTTAAATTTAATGTAAATATACTTTGCTGTAATTAAAAAAAGAAATCACGTAAAGTTTTATTTAAACTAAAAATATTTTCTGAATATTTTGAGACTAAATATGAATAAAACAAGTATGAATGGGAAATGAATGATCGGTACCAAAGCCAAAAAGACCAAGCCCCCCCCCCATTAACATAAAAAAACCACAAATTTCACGTGCCAGATGAACTAAATAACGCTGGACATATACCAGTGAAATTTAGATCCAATCAGTGTACATTTTGTAGCACAAGGAAGAAACATCATAGAAGAAGTTACATGTGCGACCAATGCCCATTGCAATGTGTGAAATGAGCGATGCGAGTCTATGCATGTACCAAAAACACAAAACATGTTTTGAACAGTGTCACAAAAAATATTTGTTCTTTGATATTTAAAAAAAAAAAAAAAAACACTGAGTCTTTTTTTTATCCTTATTTTACTGAGTTTTTAATCCATGTAGCCAAACGTTCTTATTATGTAGGTACTTATACTTTCACTAATATAGAAAAATTATATAAATGTTATTTTTAATTTTTTTCTGACAATTTAGTTTGTAAAATAATGTAAAAATATATATATATTATGCAATTCTTACATGCATTTTTAAAAAAAATTCGTAAATTTCGTCATTTATTAGAAATGCACACGGAAAAAGGTAAGTTTTTTTTTCCTACTACCAAGGTAAGTTTTAAAGTCCTAGATGCGCGGTGGTTTCACATTGCGACCACCACCCACAAAACAATGGGCAAGAGTAGATTTTTTTAAATTCATATATTATTTATCCTTAGGATCATAATATTCAATATCTAGAGTTTTTAGTTAAAAAAATTACAAAAATAATATTGAGCGTGTCAAAGGGTTAATACATATATTTTTTATGGTGGTATTATTCATTCATTATTTGATTTTTATATCAATTTTTATGGTGGTATTCCATAACTTAAATAAGTGTGTGGTTAAGTCCTTCTTATTCATAACTGACACTAAATTGCACTGTTTGGTGATAATTTCATGGCTGACAGGTTAATACATAAGTATCCAATTTTATTACTATGTTAGCAATGTTATTCATCTTATCAGCTTGCTTGATATGCAGTATAATAATTCATTGGATTCCTGAATTGTTTACAGTAATTTTGTGATTCCCGTCTGAGTAGATTAATGGGATAGATTAATCACAACAGTTACCAAAATTAATATTCAAATGCTACAAATGTAACAAAAAATGTAAAACAGAAGAGCTAAGAAACTAACTAGAACTTAATACTAAGAAAATAAAACTAAGTAAAACAGAGGGGAATAATGAAATCAATGCTATATATAAATGCATTACGCAAAAAGTTGTTTAATTTTAATTACAATCAAGATGTTTAAAAAATGTCTCACCTACCCCCTTTACCGTAGCATATACACTTGAAAATGCATCAAAAGAATACCGTTTTTATTGTATGTTGAAAGCCAGGATACAAACAATCAGAGTATTAATAAAATTTAAAATGTAAAGCTTCTGTAAATTTTCAGAGGGAGCTTGAGAATTTCTTTTGTATTTTAAATTATTTGAATTATTATTCATTTTTACTATTTAAAAAATTAAATAATTTTTTTACACACTTTTCGTTTTATTTATTTGTGATAAATTCATACTTTTATCAACATAATGGTATTAATAACAATACTGTTACATTCAGTACTTTTTTTAAGCATCAAAAACTTTACATAGGATGAATCCATCATGCCAGTCAAACAAGAATCAATCCATCATGAATCATCAGTAATCAACTTATTTAACATAATGATCTCCAAAGAAGATTTAAACTGTCTGTAACTATGGATAAAGTACCTTGAGAAGATTCATTTTAACAATTATAAAAACAAAGCTGTCAGATGTACTGCATTAATATCTTCCTTTTTAGATAATAAGCATATTTAAACTTTATCATTCTCATCAAGCCAAGTAAGCACAGAAGCTGATCATATAATTCATATTACAAATCAATGGCAATCATATTCTGAACATATGAGTGATAATTTAAACTGAGTTTTGGCTCTGTAGATCACACACAGCCAGAGTTTTACTCCACCAATATTTAGAAATACCTTCCTGAAATGATTTTATTATATGCAAGTTAACTACACACACACACACACAAATGCATATATATAAATATATATATATATATATAGTTAACTTGCTACAGTTATATACTATATAATACAGAGAAAGAGAGTTACAATGTATATAAGTATGCATTTTATACAAAGATAGCATGCATGCGTGTGTATGTATATTCTCTACATAAAATACTTAATTTAAAACTGTCAGAAGTATTTTTTTAGCAATGAAAAATTAAAATGTTTGCATAGGAAATCATTAATTTAATATCTACCATATTTACTCTTTAAATATTTTGCATGAAATATATAATATTTAGCTCATATTTTCAGTAATAATACCTTAATACTTTTCACAGCTTGTTTACAAAATGTCTGCTATTTGGACAATGGCTTCAATTTTATTTATTAGGCATTTTAATAATTAACCTAACACAAATGGTCTTTGAATTGAAATATATAAAAGAAAAGCAGTAATACAGAACACTTCTAAAAGAAGAAACTATTTCTCTTGCTTGAAAGTTTTAACTTTTAGATTACAGAAACCTGATAAGGAAAAGACAGTTTGCTTAAAGACACACATTCTAGCTGTCATATTTGACAAATCAAAATATGTCAAAGTGATGATCAATTAAATGCCACATATGCTATAGCTGAGCAAGAGTTAAAGCACTGAAAAATTTCCACCCAAAATCTCTTACAATGCGGCTGGCAGGAGCATAATGCAATAAAATTTAGGTATTTCTTTGTTAAAATGGCCACTTCATACCTCTTTAGTGTCATTTGAAATTTTCCTATAAAAGAATGGGAGACTAAGTTTGCTAATCTTGACAAATATGCACAATGGCTGGTTTAACATGGAAGTACTGTTTTATCCCAAATTCCCATCATTATAATATTCATCAAGAAAGCAATAATGCACTAAAACATACATACAAAATAAAAAAAAAAAATTGAATGCATATTTGACTTCAGTAAATACCATAATAATTTACAATGTCAGTAATTATGCTACTTTAAACACCTTATACCATACATGACATATTGCATAACTTTTATCAATCAGATGTTTTCACAGACTAATAATTTTATTTCTGAAAAATGAGTACAGCAAAATAATTGGTTTACCTTATTATTACTTTACTTATTACGTCTTATTTCTTACACATCTATAGCATTATTCATTTATTAACTATGTACTGCAAAGACTATAATCTTGCACTAAGCCACTGATTTCATTATCAGTGAAATAATATTAGTATACATCTATACGAAAATTCAGCAAAGGTATAATTTTATACAGAAAAACTGGTCTCTGACAATCCCGTTAGATAGATACAACCATATTGCATATTTTTATCTTTTACAGACTTTTTTAACATTCGGAGTTCTATAATTATGAAAAATATTTCATGTCTGAAAATAATCAAACAAGAAAACGAGAAACATTCAGCGATTCAAATAGAGCGGAAAGAACAACAGGAAGGAGTATGCTATATCTTTTTACACATAAAAATAACTTTTATTTCTAAAAGGAAGAACATAATTTTACTACAGACTATTACAGCGTATACAATACTATTAAAATATGCTTAAAAACCTACGGCCTAAAAGTGGCATTTCTACTCCGTTATTTAAAATAACATTCATCTTATTTATTGTTGACATAATGAACTACCAGCGTTTCCAGATTCGATAACAGGAATTTTACACAGAAATCAACCAAACGCAGTTTGAAAAGAAAATATGAATATAAAATATTTCATGAATGTAAAATTCCTGAATATGATGTATATATATGTGTAAGTAAAGAAACAATTTTATTCATAATAGAATTGAACATGAATACCTAAACTGGAAAATACTGCTGCAAGAAAATAAATTTCTAAGAGTATTTTTACAATTTTGTCATGGTTTAGGTTAAATTAATATTTATGTTAGGTTAAATTATTTTGTCATGGTTTAGGTTAAATTAATATTTATTACTATAACGTACACATTTGAAAGCAGGCAGACCATATGCAGCATTTTTAGCAGAGTAGTCTCTTTTGTGGGGGGTGGGGGATTTCCTGGCCATCTTACACACACACAGATCGTATTTTATTCTCGAGTGTCAAGATGTGCCACTTTAATGAAACTGACAGCTTGTGCCGTTTTTAACAAAAATATACTTTTATTAGCCCATCATGATATTTTTTCATAACCTGTCAGTGGAGCGGTTCTTTACCGACTGGGCTACGTATGGGGAAAAAACTTATAATTTCTTCTAAGACAATCGTGTAAAACAAGTGATGGAGGCTATGTTATGTGAAACTCAGTAAGAGTACTCACTGAACGTTCCTCGAGTGGTGCTAACACCGTATTACTGATTGCCTCAGTGTGTTTGTCATAGTTTCTCGACGACGGTAAACGTATTTTTGGACTGCCCTGAGTAACACTGGCAAATAAATTGCGTTTTGATTTTTCAAGTGTTGTCGTCAATCATTCCAAATCCACAAACCCGTAGAACGCAGCAACTTGTGTCAGAAGTGAGATTCCCCTCCAAATTCATTCCGAACAAAGCAGGAACTTCACTTCGGCTGTGTTCAAGCGAGTCTGCGACTTAAAATCAAGAAAACTCAGACGACTCTGTTACTTCAGCAGTCTGATGGTATGGTGGAGAAATTTAACCGTATCATCCTGAACCAACTGCCGCTCATAGTTTCCAAGAGCCAAGAAGAATGGGATCGCAAGCTGCCCATATTTTTGTTTGCTTACCGTAGTGCCGCAAGGCCAACTAGATATCTACAGGCCTGCTCCAATCTGATGATCACATGATCTGACGTCATAATCTTAGTCCTTCAATTTTGTAAGTTGGCATTGCTTCGCCGTAGGACTAGTGCTAGTGAGATAATTGTTTACATGTGTTTTTTCTTCTGAAAAATTTTGTATTTTACCGGAAAGTAAAATATTATATTGTGAATTCGAATTTATAAGAAAAAGTGTGTTTTAGAATGCCAAGAAAGTGTAGTGTACCTAAATGCCGATCAAATTACGATAGCAGTAATGAACATGTGTCGACTTTCAAATTTCCTTCCTTCGGTATCCTGTACTCTCTCAGAAATGGATAAAAAATATTAATCGCAAAGATTTTGTAGCTGGCAAACACAGTAGTGTATGCATTAAGCATTTTGAAGAAAAAATTTGTCGTTCGAGAAGATAAAGCTGTTCGTGATGATGGAACGGCATTAGTAATGGTTTTGCAAGAAAAATAGATCTTCCCTCTCTTCATGGATATTCATAACCAAAGGTAAGATCTTTTGGCTATCGAAATTAGAATTTTTAAACTGTTCAAAAGTGCTTGTATCTTTAAAAATATTGGAACGATTTAAATGTAAGAGTTTTTTTCAATGAAAATGAAATTCCCATTGAAAAGTTCAAATGGATATTTGGAGAAGAAAAACTATGTGATAAATGGTTTAAACTTGAGACAAGTGATTAGCCATTTGGATGGTTTTTCTGCTTCTGATATTCATGATGACTGCAATTTAAATTTAGATAAAATATCAAGAACTACTGTTGAAATGTGCAGAAACAGAAAATAATCCACATTCTGAGAAATTTAAGTTTTTGTATGAACAGATTCAATTAATGCAAATGAAACAGCCATTCGTATAGTGCAGAATTCCTTTGCCTGGTCTTGTTATATATTTTATTGTAATCCAAACAGCTACAATATTATACGTAACAGTAAGTATTTTATATTGCCTCATCCGTCATACTTAAGGAAGTTATCTCTGAAAATTGGCCGAGCAGATTCTGGATTACAAACAAGTCACTGGATGTATTTGAAAAAAAAAAAAATGTGAAATTTTAAATGATTCTGAAAAAATTGTCAATTTATTATTAGATGTGATATATATAAAACCACAAGTTTCGTATAAAAGTGGTCGTGTTTTAGGTTTTTCGGATAATTCGCAGATGGAGGCCACAACTCTGCAAACATTTATGATAAGCTATATTAGCAAAAAACAGATATTGTAGCAATGTGTTTCCCGTAAAAAACTTATCATCACATCAATTATTAATATTTACAAAACAAGTAATTGACCATGTACAGTCTTGTGGCTATCGAATCATAACTCTAATATAAGACAATAATAGAATTAACAGAAATATGTTCAAAATGCTTTGTGGTGGTGCATTAAAATCCTCATTTATAAACCCTACCATGCATAATCTTCCTATATTTACATTATTTGATACAGTTCATTGGTAAAAGTTTACAATTGGGTGCCCCTCGTTTATTGGCGATTCTTTCTTGACGCCAAGATCGGCGCCAGGAAGTCACAATTTCAAGATGGCCGCTACACAAAACCAAAATAAGAAGTCGAAGAATTGCATAAGATCTGTGTCCATGTACACATCGATCTGTTTTTACTTAAAAAAACATCCTAGAATTGCACAAACTAGGCATTGCGCCTTAAATATGTCCATGTACACATCAATCTATTTTCATTTAAATAAAATCGGGAAGCTAAAACAAATTTAAAACTATTGTGGTAACCAGAAGTGAGGTTTCATCTCCAAAATTTTTTTAAAAATGTCGCCAATCGAAGGGGCACCCAATTCTACACTAAAGCCAGTTCATTTATTGAAATCTATACGAAACAACTGGTTCAATCAGAAACGATTCAAACCCAAACATTTTTTATACCGTCAAATATTGTTTACAATTCCAGTGTTCTACATTTAAAAAAATTGTATAAAATAGAAAAAAACGATAATATTAAAATGGCTCCAACTTTATCAAGGAAAGTTTTATTTCCGTCTTCTATAGAGGAACAGAATGTAAGTACTGCTATTAAACTTTTTGATGAAAAGACTTTAGCTGCTCTGCAAATTGAATCGCAGAATAATAGAACTCGGTATGGAAAAGATGTCTTAAGAACTAAACATTTTATTGATGTAATTTTAAAGTGGTGGAAAATTGTGAATGTTAAACACTCTAAAAAGGCCTTACAGTTTCGAGATGTATTTATGCAGCCTATAAGGACAACAGAAGATAAAAGCTTAGAATGTTTATCACAGTTTTGTTCGTGGCTTATATCATGGAACGATTTTTGCCCAACAACAAAAAATTGTAAGTCACAAATTGGGGAAACTGTCAAAAGAAGCCCAAGTTGCTCTTCTCCATACAACAGCAACATTGAATGAACTTTCAAAGTATTTGTTAAAAGAATTTAAATTACCTTTTATTCCTTCAGGAAAATTTCAGACAGATAACCTTGAGGGACGTTTTGGTCAATTTCAACAAATGAGTGGCTGTAATTATAATGTATCCTTACAGCAGATTATAGAGTCGGAAAGAAAACTAAAATTAATTAGTTTGCTTAAAATGCAGTCTTCTGAGAAAGGTTCATTTATTTTACAACATTTTTCTTGTAATGATATTGAAGATTTTAATGATGATCAACTTATTGATAAGGAATTTGGTGATGTTTTGCATCAATCCAATGATGTTAATGTTACAGAAAAAGATACAATGTGTCTAATTTACATTTCTGGATATGTTTGTAGATCTGTATTGAAGCATATAAATTGTAATCTCTGCAGGAAAAAATTAATTCTTGACAAAGAAATTGATAGTTGAATATTGTGAAGATTTTGCGTACTTAGCTGCTATTGATCGAGGTGGTTTATTTTGGCCAACAGAATTCGTGCTTTTCATTAATACCTCTGCATTTAAAATATTTCCAATCCTAATATCTGAAATGTATGAGAAATTATATATTTCATCAAAAAATCAACATTCTATATTAATAAGTCTCATCACAGAGAAGAAAACAGGATTATTTGGGATGATAGTATTTGTGTGGCAAATCATTGCATGATTTGTTGAAAAGTTGTGCCACATGCATTTCCAATATATTGCTGAATAATTACTGTAAGGTTAAACTGTTAAAAATAACAATTTAAAGGAAACCAATGACCAAAAAAGAAAAATGGGTAAATTAAATAATTCTGGAATTTAGGTGAATTTTTTATGTAATTTTAAAGTTAAATAATTAGTATTTGCAAACTGTGCATAACTGAGCCATAGAAACTTGCTGCTGCCTACTAGTGGCTGAGTGGTAAAATAGCTGAAAACTGATAGTTTGGTCTGGAGTTCCAATCTCGGCGAACGGGCTGGCTGATAATTACCTTATACGGGCAAATAGAATTGATAATTACCTTATATGATCAAATAGAATCAAAAGTTAATTAAGTTTGAAAATATTGACAAGTGTGATAGAAGCTGATGAACCAACAAAAAGGAAGATGTTAATTTTAAAAGTGAAATAAAAACTTGGGAAATATGGGATGATAATGCGATAGCAAGAAATCTAATGAATTAGACTGTGACAGCTCCATAAGCGTTAAAATATGTGAATGAACAGAATACAAAGAAATGATGGGAGAAAATAAAAAATGAAATGGCGGCAAGAACAGAAGATATTCATATCAAATGTAGAAAGAATTAGCTCAACTGAAAATGAGTCAAAACGAATCTGTAGATGCTTACATGAATACAGCTGTAATTCTGAAAAGTAAAAGCATTCAAGTTGGGATGAAATAAGAGATAAAAAATTAATTTACCTCATACTAGAAGGACATTAAAGTTGATTGTTGTTAAAATTATCAAAAGTAATAAGAGAAAAGATATA